AACTAACTGAACATAGCATAACATAAACATATCAACTAACATGAACACATAAACTGCATACTGCATCGGGCCATAGCCCGGAACACATAACACATAAATATTGTTTGAGCCACGAAGGCATCAAACATACTAACTACTGCATCGGACCGAAGTCCGGAAACTACTGCTAGCTAAACGGGCCGACATTGTGGCCTTAGACCCGTTCCTACTGGAAGGAAACTCACATGAACTGCTGAGCTCTACTGATAACCCTCTGGCTGTTAACCAACAATTCTCTAAGGCGCTTCTCCTCTAGCTCTTCGAGTTACCAATATCAATATAACACTTAGTCTGACAGTCTTCCAAAAGTCAACTAAGTCAACTCTGGTCAAAGTCAAAGTCCTAGTCAAAGTCAACCTTCCAGGTTGACCCTACTCGCCGAGTCAGCTTACTGACTCGCCGAGTCAGCCTACTGACTCGCCGAGTTCATAAGCTCAGAAACCCCTTTCATTCACGACTCGACTCGCCGAGTCAGACCATGACTCGCTGATTCTACTAATTTCCGAGTTCTTTCCTGTCCAACTCACTGAGTTTCCACTCAACTCACTGATCCGAGTCTTAACTAAAAGGGCTTGGGGTTTCGCAACTTGACTCGCCGAGTCCAAGAACAGGCTCGTTGAGTCCAATGCAATCTTCAACAGACTCGCCGATTTGTTCTTCTAACTCTTCAAGTTCCTGCCTATCATCATCCAACTCGCTGAGTCCACCCATGCGACTCGCCGAGTTACTACGCTATTTAAGTTTGGTATCTAGCCTGACTTGCCGAGTCATCTCCCAGACTCGCCGAGTCCTTTCGTGTATTCATAATCTCGAGTCATAGAGCTACTCCTTCGCTCCAAACAATATATATGGGTTCCTAGAGTCCACTAGCACCATAAAGTTGCTACCTTTACGTGCTTCTTGTCTCATAATACCAAAAACCAAGCTAGAAAGGAACTTAACTCATGGGGAATGGATTTTGCATAGCAACTAACAGGGCTTTCTGCATCTTTGATCCAAATAGAGGTCAGATCTGGAGTTTCAACTCCAGATCTAACTTGTGCACTAATTTCTCATCACATACTCTCAAAGAAACACGAAAACTCCATGAAAGATGGATCTAGAAAGGAGAAATCCAAGGATAACGATTCATTACCTCCACATGCTCTAAAAAGTTCCACCAACTCTGGATCCAAGGTCTCCTCTTGCACCAATATGAATCTCTTCTCTTCCAAGCTTCAAATTACTTCACCAAGGGTAGATCTTGCTCCAAAAATGGTTATGGTGGCTAGGGTTTGGGGTTCTGGACTATAGGGGCCGCAAATGATCCCTATGGAAGAGAATAAGATGCTTAAATAGGGTACCAAGTCCCGGAATTAGGTTTTCCCAACCCAGACCGGACTTGCCGAGTCCAAACCCCAACTCGTCGAGTCGGTCACTTAATCTGCGACACAGAACTTGCTCCGACTCGTCGAGTTCTTCCTTGGACTCGACAAGTCGACCCCTTAAATTTATGGTTTTCCTTTCTTTTCTTGGCCTTTCTAATTTTGGGTGTTACATTGGATCTATGTTCTCTATAATATACATGCAAACTTTCAAAATTCCAAAGCATTATCCTAACTAGCATACAATGGAGTATCGATACTACAAAATTCTAGTTAGATGACATACCTTTTAGTGTAGTGGAAAACCTTGAAGCTTTAAGAGCCTAGCACCAATAGTGTGAATGCCTCAAATGGAACCACAAATCACCACTAACAAATGGAAGAACTAGAGAGAGAATTCATTGCTTCACAAAATCTGCAAGTACTCTTCTAAGATCACTTAGGTGCCAATTTTGGTAGCCTTAGGGTCTCTTGTATAGTGTGGCAAACTAGGGTTACACCATGTAAACCCTAATGACCTTCCATATCCCTCATGCTCCAATGGCTTAAAATCACCATGGAGTATCCATGGGTCACTTAGGTGCCAATTTGTTAATAGGTTATGTTTTACTTGTATGTACAATGGAAAGTTGTTTTACTAGTGCATATTTTTTTTGGGAATTTTTACCCTACTTTGAATAACAATAAAATCTTCATACTAGCTTGGAATGAGCAGATTTTTTCCCCAGATTGTAGTCCTCTATATTGGCTACAATGTAGGCTCAAAAAACAGCATAATTGGTTAAGATATGACTGAGTCACACACCCTTAAACAGAGGCTGTTAGGATTGTTGTACATTGTTACAACATTTTTTTATAATTTGTGTTAAACTTTGAACCATCATAAAAATCTCATACGAGCTCGGAATTAGGAGATATTTTTTTTTACAAATTGTAGTCCTCTGTGTTGTCTACGTTTTAGGATAAAAAACCGCTTAATTGGTTAAGATATGGCTGAGTTATACAACCTTAAACAGAGGTTGTTACGACTGTTGTATATTATTACAACATTTTTTATAATTTTTGTCAAACTTTGAACCATCATAAAAGTCTCATACGAGTTCGGAAATAGGCGCTTGTTTTTTAAAAATTGTAGTCCTATTTGTTGTCTAAGTTTTAGGATAAAAACCGCTTAATTGGTTAAGATATGGCTGAATTATACAACCTTAAACATGGGTTGTTATGACTGTTGTATATTATTACAACATTTTTTATAATTTTTGTTAAACTTTGAACCATCATAAAAGTCTGATACGAACTCGGAATTAGGTGATTTTTTCCCCTAAATGTAGTCCCATGTCTTGTATACGTTTTAGGATTAAAAAATAGCTTATTTGGTTAAGTTATGACTAAGTTATACAACCCTAAACAGTGGCTATTAGGAATGTTGTATAATATTTTTTATTCATTGTGGTGTGATAATATTATGTTTAATGGTTTAATTACTATTTCAAGCATCATTATGTAAACATTTTTTGTAGGCATGGCAAGGCGAAACAAATACGTATGGACTACTGAAGAGGATGCAAAGTTGATTGAAGCATTGTTTGAGTTACATGTATCCGGAAAGTATGGCGGTGTCGACAACAGATTCAAACTTGGTTATTTGAAGGTCGTGCAACAATTATTAGACGTAAGTCTTCCTAACTCGGGTTTGAAAGCAGAGCCTCATATTAAATAGAGGATGAAGACATGGAAAAACCATTTCAACATTGTGCACGACATGGTATACGGAACAAACACGAGTGGATTTGGCTGGGATATGGATAAATGTTGTGTTACCGCTGATGCTGAAGTTTGGGATGAGTACATAAAGGTACTATAATGATTATGTTTGTAGTATTTTTTGCATCATTAAAAAATATTGTAAATGAATAGTAAACAATTAATTTTGTGCCATTCTTGTAGAGTCATAAAGGTTCTGCATGTTTTCGCGATAAACCATTTCCACAATTTGATTACCTATGTAAAATCTTCGGTAAGGATAGAGCTACTGGTCATGGAGCTACTGATCTTGGAGAAGATGTGATTGAAGAGACACAAAGAAACTCACATGTTGATGTGGAAGGGTTGGAAGATATTGTTGAAGAGACACAACAAATTGCTCGTGGCAATAGTAAACAAAAGGCCTCCAAAGGATGACACCGAAAGCTCTTATAAGGAAGCTGCAAAAGAAACGAAAAACTTTCAAGGAGGTTAGTGAAAAACTTAATGAAACAATATACAATATAGGAATGCAAGAAAATAAGGAAACATGTGATATGATAGATAAAGTTATCAAAGATATATAACGCATGCCAAATATCAATGTCAAACAACGAATTAAGGTGATTGACATGTTTAGCAAAGGTCAATTTCATGCTCGGACGTTTTTTAAGATAACAGAAGAAGAAAAAAATTTGTTACATGGAAATGATAGGGGAAGGATCAATATCATGATAAGGTTATTTTAAGTTATGGTTTTTTTTTTTTTTTTTTAGTTTTTATGAATATTGAAGTTTACTCTTTGCACATTCTGTATTGGACATAGTTATGTTTTTTTAGTTATTAAGAATGTTGAATTATACTTTTTGCATATCGTACATTGGACATAGTTTTTGAATAGTATGATGTTCATATTTCTTTACAATCTATTTTTAAGTTATTCCTTTATATTAGAAATATGTTTTCCAAAACAAGATGTATAAAAAATAATATTAATTGATTAGAAAATAAATTATTTAGTAACACTTAATATAAAAATAAAAAAATAATTAAAAACATAGAAGATGTATATTTTAACTAATTAAGTGTACATCTTAATGCATTTTTATAAAAAAATGTTGTTTGAAAATGAATAAACAAGGTAAAAAAACTTATTTCTATTTTATTGATTAATACAACCAAACAAGAGAAATGATTCTAAAAAACATTTCTCTAGTGGATTTTCAGTTCTACCAAACAGGGGAATCAATTCTCTTTCTCTAGCTTAATTCTCTATCTCTACATTTCTATTCTCTGCAGGAATTCATTTTCAGTTCTACCAAACAGGGGAATCAATTCTCTTTCTCTAGCTTAATTCTCTATCTCTACATTTCTATTCTCTGCAGGAATTCTATTTCTCTGTACCAAACACACCCTAAGTTTGTCATCATGTGTAAGAAAAAATATATGTAGAGTTATTAACCAGAACTACCATAAAATACCCATCATTAGATATATTTTTAAATTGTTTGTTTGCTTTCTCTACAACTAAATCAAAAACAATATAAAAGGACAAGATTAGTATTGATTCGATCAAACGCGAGAGAACTAAATATGTAATCTAAAGATGGCTTAATAATAACTTACGTGTATATAGTACAAAATACATGCTAAATCACAATTTTCGTCTACATCATTCGCTTCTTCTACATACATTGTTTATGAAAGTATCACCTTCTTTGACAATATATGTTGTAGTGTATTGTTTATTCATTCTTGTCCTCAATGTCGGCTATTAATATATATATATATATATATATATATATATATATATATATATATATATATATATATATATATATATATATATAACAACCTACTTTCAGTAGCTACTACCACTAGCCATATATGAAAAACAATCTGTGAATGTGGAATGTATGCTTATATGGATGACATTACATGTATACACAACCCGATTCATTTACACATCATGACAAGTGAAACAAACACCCTTACTTATCCAACAGAAGAAGATGAGATATTGAAAGCTTTTTCCATGATTGTGTGTGAGTGTGTGTTTAACCAACTGAGTTTTCAAGCTTTATGCTCATCAACTGATTGACTTCAGCACCAAATTCATCAGGAAGCTCATTGAAAACATCCCTACAAAACCCAGAAATCATTGCAGCCATTGCACGTTCATAGTCAATCCCTCTTTGCTGAAAATAAAAGAGTTGGTCTTCTCCAATTTTCGAAGTGCTTGCTTCATGTTCTATTCGTGCAGATGGATTTTTCGCCTGTTTAAAGTGTTTACACACAAAAACATCAACAATAATATCATTATGTTACGTATAAATACAATATTTGCTTAGGTGTTGTTTTTTTTCTTTAACTTAATGGACAAAATTGCTTTGTATTTGAATTTCATTGCTATAATTGGACAGATTCTTCACTGTAGAAACCTGTAAGCAAGCAATGAAAGTAACATCCCATAATATAAAGTATAAACAAACGAGAAATGCAAGAAATAGAAACATACTTCCATTTGTGTATTATAGAATCTTGCTTCATTTCTTTCTACTACAACATTGTACTTTAAATGTCCTTATTAAGTCATATTATAGTTTGAAAAATCCCCTAAATCATAATATTGTACATTCATTTTTCCCACTTATTATGACATTACACTTTGAAAAATCTACCTATGCATAGCTTTGAGAATATGTATTTATGACATCACCCAAAAACTAAAAACAAGATGCATACCTGAATGTAAGGGTAAGTGTTAGCAGCAGCTTTATCACCAATAAGCATGGAATCACATTGAGAAGAATTCCTTGCATTATCAGCTCTTGATTGAACCTGAACAAGTCCCCTATAACAATTCCTTGAATTTCCAGCTGAAATCCCCTTTGAAATAATCCGACTTTTTGTATTCTTCCCCTTATGAATCATCTTTGTACCTGTATCCGCTTGTTGCATATTATTAGTCAAAGCAACCGAATAAAACTCACCCACAGAATCATCACCTTCCAAAACAACACTCGGGTATTTCCATGTAATTGCAGACCCGGTCTCCACTTGGGTCCAAGAGATCTTGGATTTTCGACCCGCACAAAGGCCACGTTTTGTCACAAAGTTAAAGATCCCGCCCCGCCCGTTTTCATCACCCGCGTACCAGTTTTGAACTGTGGAGTATTTGATTTCAGCTTCTTCGTTACAATGGAGTTCAACAACAGCTGCATGGAGCTGATTCGTGTCATAAGAAGGAGCAGTGCAACCTTCTAGATACTCAACAAAGCTTCGATCATCTGCTATGATAAGAGTTCGTTCAAATTGACCGGTTTCCATGGCGTTTATACGGAAATAAGTTGAGATTTGCATCGGGCATTTGGTGTCTTTAGGGATGTAGACGAAGGATCCGTCACTAAATACAGCTGAATTCAAAGCAGCGTAGAAGTTATCATCTGAGGAAACGACTTTTCCTAGATATTTTTTGACTTTATCAGGGTGGTCTTTAATGGCTTCGGAGATTGAACAAAAGATTACCCCGGATTTCTCTAATGTTTTTCTATGAGTTGTGGCGATTGAAACGCTGTCGAGAACAGCATCCACAGCGACGTTTGCTAGACGGTTCTTTTCGCTTAGAGGGATACCCAATTTGTCGAAGTACTTGAGGAGTTCTGGGTCGGCTTCATCGAGGCTATTCAAAGTTGGTTTCTTTTTGGGTTCTGAATAGTAACAGAGGTTTTGGAAATCGATTTTGGGGTAATCGTTATCGGACCATTTTGGCTCGGTCATTTGAAGGAATTTATGATAAGAATTCAATCTAAACTCAAGCATCCAATCAGGTTCGTTTTTCCTTGATGAAATTAGCCTGATTGTTTCTTCGGAAAGCCCTTTAGGGATCGTGAACGAATCAATTTCTTGACTGAATCCCCATTTGTAATCTCTTTTAAGAAATTTCTGAAGTGGGTCGTCATCGACTGAAGATGAATTTGAAGAATTACCTTCAGCGACTGTCTCTGATTGGATTGTTTTTGCATCAGCTCTGAGCTTCAAGAACCTGGAATTGTGGGACTTTGACTTCGGTGTTTTACAAGAAATTTCGGTTTTTGAAGATGATCCTTTTGAGATTTTAGGGGTTTCTGAGATGGGTTGTGGAGAAAAGGTTGAAAAGACTCCATTTGTGACGAGAGAAGCCATTGATATGGTCGATTTACCAGAAGATGCCTGATGAAAACCTAGAAGAGTCGAGAGAGTCGATGATATGGTTTTTATGTGGTGTGTGTAAGGCTTGAATTCAGCATATTCGTATGTCAACCACGAGCCCTCATATACTTCCTAAATTTTGGGACACATATTCATTTATTCATTGTGTTAAAGTCCTCAAAGATATCGTCTTGATACACAATTCCTCCCCAAGTAGTGAATGTTAAAGATTTAGTCCTTCGATTTTGTTGAGTTTCAATAACAAAAGGTTTAAAAAAAATTTAGAAGTACAAATCTAATATATTCCTAATTATATATATGTCCTAGACGGGGACTTGAACCATCATTAATTACAAAGATAGATGGTGATACTTGATACTGCTAGTCTATAAATCATTTGGTGTTAGATGGTTTAAATACATGATAAGTCAAATCTCAATATAACTTGTAAAAAAATCATGGGAAAATCTCAGAAAAACCCTATGTATTATAGGTTAATGTTTAAAAAAACCCTTATATTATTTTTTTGTACAATTTAACCATTATTTAGTTTAACCTTGATTGTTTTAATGTTTTGTGACTGGCCACTCTTAACCAACCGGTCATTTAATAAATGACGTGGGTTTTAATAGATCTGGACCTCAACGAAATGGACAATTCTTCTCTTCAAAACTTGCGTTCCTCTACTTCTTCTTTTGATTTCTTGTTGTGCAACTGAAATGGGTGATCAATCATATGGTTCTTCTTCTTCCTTCTCAACTTCTAGCTACAAAAACGTACTCTGTAAATGTGGTGAACAACCAAAGATCTGGACTTCAACGACCAAGAAGAACCCAGGCCGACACTTCATTCGGTCCCCTAATTCTCTGGTATACGAAATTCTTTAAGATTGATGTCGTTTCTCTAATGTTTACTCAAATACTTCATTTTTTCTAGGATTCTTCAAAAGATTGTAAATTTTTTGTATGGGTGGATGAGGATTTGGGTCTTCACAGATATAAGAGTAAAGTCAATGAGTTGAATAGGGAGAATATGGATTTATTCAAAGAAAATATGATCCTTTCCAAGAAGAATATGGAACTGGAGAAGGAGAACATATGTTTGCAGAAGAAATTGATGAAGCTAGAGGTGATTGAAAAAAAAGAGATTGATATGTTCATGGTTAAGGTGCTGTTTGGTATTGTTCTTGTTAGCATTTTCATTTACTTTATAATTCCGTAGTATGGAAAGTTAGGTTAATTTAATATCGCTAATTATGTAATAGGGCAGGTTAGGTGTGCTAAAGTATTGCAAGCTTGTTTAAGCAATGTACCTTGAATCAATGTTTAACCAATGTATTTTGAAACCATGTAATTTAAATCCCCTGCATATTCTAACTATCTTTCTGGTGTGGTTATTTTGTTTATGTTTGTATGTAACTATCTTTTTTATGTAATTATCTTTGGAATTAATAAAAAATACATTTTTGCTAATGGGTAATGTTTAATTGCCACATATAATGTGAAAAAACTATGTGTACAGACAATAGTGAGAGATTTCTTTTAAGTAATAACAAGTTGTCAATATTTAGTAAATTCGTATCATAAACTTTTAACCAAATAGTGTAGCTAATGAGTACTTAATTTTTTAACAAACGTAGCTTCCATTTTTGCATTATTTAATCTTTTTCAAGGCGTTTAGAAGCAAAAAAAAAAAAAAACATGTTATTTGGAGCAGGGGTAAAAACGGAAAACAGAAAAAATATTAGGAAAAGGAAATGGAAAACAGAAACAAGGAAACAGAAAAGGAAAACAAACAAAAGAAAACATATTGGAAACGATTACACATTTTTAGAATGTTTTTAACTCACATGTGCATAGTGAAATCCCCATTTTTACCCTCCATTTCAAGACTGTCACGGGAAAGGAAAACAAAAACAAAAAATTACTATAATTCCCTTAATGTGGAAATGATTACAGGTTCACAGGAAAGGAAAAAACAAAAAACAGGAAAGGAAAAACAGAAAACATGAGATGACCATTTTGCCCTTGGTTTAGGTCTTTAGCTACTAGACATAAAATACAATCGTTATGGTAGATTACAACCTTTTCTAAACATAATAAAATGGAACAAAACAACTTATCTTGCAGGAAAGAAAAAGATAAAACTGGAGATGACCGTTTTGCCCTTGGTTTGGGTCTTTAGCATAATATAACATGTTAAAAGAACAAAATGCAAAACAAATAATATGGAACAAAATGCAAAACAGTTAACATAACTTGTTAAAGGGACATAACTGAATTACATTTCAATAACAAAAGAATAGGAATACTAGATTCCAAGTATCAAAATTCATCACAAAGTACTAGAGTTTTGTCCTATTTTGGCTCCTAAATCTAGTATTCCAAATTAACAAAAGACTTGATTTGTGTCCCATTTCGGCTTCTAAATCTAGTATTCCACCTACATCCTCATCCAGATGGCTTTCTTGGATTGAACTTTTCACAGATAATAGGTACATTAATTGCTATCCCGCCAACCACATGAGATTGATCTTCCCAATTAGCTGCAAAAGTTATGAAAGTATTAGATTTAATATAATTATAGAATACATACAAATGAAATTATTTCTTACCATTTTCAACATCAAATTGAGTTTCAGGCACTCCATCATCTTGAGTTATAGGAACTCCTTCATCAAATTGTGATTCAGGAAATTGCATCATATGTGAACTTGCCCCCCCTTTCCATTTCAGCCCTAAATACGTCTTCCTCAAAATTATCAAACATGTTTATAACTTCATTTTCTGTTGGTGAATCAAAGATTTCATCTATAAGTGACCTTCCTCCTCTACCACCACTTCTACCTACAGATGATCCTCTTCCACCTCTTTCCCTAGTTGGTCTTCTTCCTCCTCTCCCACCACTTGTAGTTGGTCGTTTTGAAGGTGCTTCATCAGAATGTGGTTTTTTAGGCCTACCAGGAGGCTTCTTTTCCTTAGGAGGGGGCACAACTTTTTCATTCTTGCATGTCCTAGCATTGTGCCCTTCCTGTAAACAGTTGTGACACTTCTTTATTTTTCCTTTACCCGAAACAGTTGAATACTTTGTCTTTTTTTCAGTTTAGTCTCTTTTTCTTTTCACAGAAGGCCTTCCTGGCATCCTGCGTTCTTTTGGGGGCAATATGTAACGTCCGGGTTTTCAGGGCTAAGCATTTTTGTCAATGTAATAGTCTAGGTCAACTATTGTAACTCTTTTTGAAGTAATAAATATGAAATATTTGAGTATTATGTGAATTATGTGTGTTTATGTGTTTATTATTTAATTATAAATGTATAATTAATAAAGAATAAAAATGAGCGTCAAAATTAAAGTGTGAGATAATCTCGATATCTCTACATAAAGTTGTAGAATATGTCGCAAGGTTTCCGTACATATAAAGAATGCCGAAATCCGAGCTATAACGAAGAAATTATGGCCCACCGAAGTTTTACGGCAAAACCGGCACGGCACCGGGAGACGTAAATAGTGAATTTACGATAGAAGACTTTTTAGCCTTAGCAATCTAAACAAAAGTCGTAGAATATGTTAAACTAAGAACATCGATAAAAAGAACGCCCAAATCTGACTTCGTATGAAGAAGTTATGATTTTTCTAAGATTCGGCTTAGCAGTGCACGGCCTGAAACTCGAATTTTAGTTCGAGCGGTTTTTGGCTTACGCAACGTAAATGAGAGTTGAAGATCTCATTAATAGGAAATCAACGGTAAAAAGACAGACAAAAACAGAGTCCGTATGTAGAAGTTATTAATTTTACGCAGACGTTTAACAGTATAATCTCCTTGTACTGTTAAATTTAAGATCGGTCGAGAATTAGCTGACGGTGTCAAAATGAAAGTTGTAGATCTTATTATTACCTACGCGTGGATATAAAGAACGTCAAAAACGGAGGTCGTATGTGAAAGTTACGGATTTTAGAAGTCGGAAGTGTGCTGTGCGAAAATGGGTGATGTGGCACAATCTTGGCCATTGCTTTCTCCCCAAGGCTTGCCACCAGATGGTGACATGTGGCACCAAGTTCAGCCACATTTCACCCTATAAATACCACCTCTCCCACCCTCATTTTCTTCACACCTTTCCCATTCTTTCTTCTCTTTACTCTCTCTCTCTAGAACCTCTCTCTAGCCCCGAAATCCCCGAAAAGCCTAGGGAACCTCCCTAGCACGAGGCGGAAGCCCCGGAGTGCTCGAAGGCTCCGAGAAGAAGAGCTTTTCGGCTCGGGAACGCTGCTCCAAGCAAAGCCCGGTTTTCTATAAAACCCGCTGTAAGTGAGCTACGCCTACACTATTTTTAATATAGCTTTTATTTAATTATAGTAACGTTATTAGGAACTTATAATAAATACTTGCGCTATTATTATGGGTTATATAAGTATTTTTTTGACGCTTATATAATAATAATAATAGCTAGACTATTAATTAGTCGACGAATAATAAACTAAACTCTAGTGGTAATAATACTAAGTTTCGTCGAAGAAAATTCTTTTTAAGAAGCGAAGCGCTGTCTGAGTTCGGAATCACCACCTTTTCAGTGAGTGCATAGTTACTTTCAACTTACACATAGATATGAAGTATTTAATATAAATTACGTGCTATGTGCATATTATCTGAATACTTGCTATCTATGCTGGATGAACGTTTTATACATGTTTTCAAAGATTTAAACTGTATATGTATTTTATATCTACAAAATGTGTTGGGTAAAACATGGGTAGATGTAATAGTTGCTGTGTGACAAAATAAAATAATGAGAGGCCTCGTTATAGATGTTATTGATGATCCAGTCATCTAGCGGAGTATAGATGACGACCACGGACTATTCTAGACAGTCCAGTGGAACACTAGCAGGCTCGCAACCTGTAGGTGTTTATTTGAACTGTGTGCTCACCAGATGTACTCCATCCCCCACATGGTTGCCTATTAGGACATTTATTGCTGAGGAATCCCCTTAGCAGTA